ACATGCTCTCTGAACTCCCAGAAGCAATCAAGGATTATATTAGCCCATTCTAGATAACATAAGGAGTGAAGGTGAGGATGTGGTCTCACTGCTGAAAGGGAGAATGCTTTTTCTTTTGTTACTTAACTCACCATTTTTCCATCATCTTTTGACTAAACCTGACCCAGCTAGTAGCCACACAAGTCCAATACTGAGAATGGTAGCAAAAGCCCTCAATCAGTGACAGAGGAACAACACCAGTGTCATCAGTGTACAGCTAACTGAAATAACATCAGCCTTAACAAATATTCCCCAGTATCTCCAGATATGTAGTGAATAGGAAAGTTGAGATCTCTGAAGGGCCCTATGTAAAAAGGTGTTAATGAGCCAACCAGCTCTGGGCTGTCCTCTAGAAGAGGACAGGCATTCAAAACACCACATCCATACTAAAGACTGGTTTTGGGAGGCACCTGTTAGAATAAAATGGAAAAAAAAACAAAAAAAAACCACAAAAGCCTTCTTTTAGTCTGATTTTAAGGCAATTCCACCACCTCAGCCTTCTTATTCTGCACTCCAATAGAATATAGTCAATGTTTGGGGATGGCTGGGGGGGGGGGGCGCTGTCCAAAACCTGCAAGTTGAGATCATTCCATTTTTGAAAGATACTGAGAGTCACTGCTTATATCAAAGACAATGGAAAATACAATCCTTATCTGACATCCTAAACTTACGTAAAAGCCTTCATGACAATGCATCACGTGTCAAACATCTTCCTACAGAAAATGTGTGGGTCTTTGCTATCTGAGATAACAAAGAATCAGGGAGTATTTCCATAAAATAAGAATGGGCTCCCACGGCTCCAGTGAAGGGAACACTGGTTCCCTGCCAACCTCACCCTCAGTGCCCCATGGTACCTCACAGCCCCACAGAGTTATGAGCTGTAACAGTAAAACTAAGATCATCTTCCAACTGTTCTTTACCCATAAGAGCCCACAAGTTCACTATGTTTGGCCTTGCCTCACCCCTAAACAGATATTTAGGCAGCTTGACAGAAGTTTTCAATATAGCTCATTATTAGAGGCTACATTAGTCCAAGACAGAAATACAAACTGTATTCCACATAGAAGTGTAGGGGAAGATGAACACAGGAGAACAGAGTAATTAAGATTGAACTCTTCATTTGGAGACGAACGCAAGAGAGGCTGGTAAAGCATTTGTGCTAAACAAAAGACATGGTATTAGAAGACTAGCATGTTATCAACAGAGATGCTGTTGAGCTAAACCAACTAAGCACATTCACAGCAAAGTTAACTTGCAGTCAAAATAGTGATTGCAAAATGAAGGTAAAGATGTCTCAGCTATTTTTCAACAGGACTGCTAGCAAGACTAGTCTGGCTGCAACTCAGAGCAGGGCACAAAGCAATTGATTTGGCTTTTGTCTATGTGCAAATCAATTCTGCTCCTGTGATCAGCAAATTCACCCCCATCTTTTTCCTCCTGTAAACTTCAGCTTACCACACAAAGTCATGTGCTGTACGAGATGGCTACACTTCACACACCCCCTTGGGAAGGCATATTTATGGCTTCACCACACTGAAAATACCAAGCAGTATTTAAACTTGTCCGAGTTAAACTGGTATGTTTCACTGTACAGAACAACTTCAGGATCTGCAATACCGTTCTGCTTATAAATTAGATGATGCATTCAGCAACTGTTTTTAATTATTCTTCTTAATCTTTCCATCCTAGTAAAACAAAAAAAAAAAAAAAAAAAGCCTTCCCAAGAAACACTGAGAAGCTTTGTGCTCAGTAGAAGAGCCACCTACATTCCAAAAAGTGTTAACCTCATTCTTACAGATTCAGGTAAATCAAAGAAATCAAATGATACAGCAGCATGCAGATCTGGTGGGACAATAAGAAAAACTGATCCTGTGTATACAGACTATCAAACAGAACTTGTATCTTAACTCCAAACAATAGCTAGGAGATATTTATGTAGTCCTGTGATTTATTTATTTATTACAGCTACAAGCTTGCAGTTTGCACCAACCTTTGAAATCTACACTTACCTATTTGCCACCTGCAGAGTGTCCACAGATATGCAGTCTTAAATGACTCATCTGAACAAAGGGTTTGGTTATTGTTCTAAACAATGTTGTTCTGTTAGGTTCTGAATTCACACAGCAAAGCACACAGCATTTATGTAAGCCTATTCCATTTGAAGTCTACCATATTAAGATACTATTAACAGCAAAAAGAAATATCTTACCTTCCTTACCCCTACATCAGCATACTTTGTGCTAAACACTCCATATAACTGACCACTTTGTGCAATTCCATCACTAGTTTGACACAACAGCTAAAGGTGCGATTCAAAACATACGGTATTTCAAAGTGAAATACAGAAGCTTAACCTTCTGTTCTGGAAATAGATGTATCAAAACCCAGACTAAGCGAACTTTATCAGAACCAGAAATACTCTGATGGGTATTTCACCTTTAGCATCCTGAGGGATAACATACAACTGACAAAACCTATAGCCTTAGAAATAAGAACACATAACTGCAGTACAAAGGGTGTCCCATATAAAGCATAATAATGTTCTTCATCACAAGTAGGATGCATACCTACTAGGAAATGAACTGGCAGTATGTCTGTCTAGTAGTAAATGAACTCAGGGTAAAGCAACCTGCTCAGCAAAAAAGCAATCAAATATCATCACTGGCTAGCAGGAAGAAGTTTAAAAATTTGAAGAGAAGCTTGTTATTCATAATAACTACTCCTCAAAGAGGGTATCAGTCAGGCTGTGCAAGTGAGCAACAGCCACCCGGTTACCAGCAACCCTTCAGTGCAACCAGGTGGCTGTTGCCTGGTTATTCATCCATTTTGGCATGTCACAGTAGAAATGTGCAGCACACAGCATGTGCTGCAAAATTCAGATTGAAAATGCAGATGAGGTCTGATGTTGATGCAAGCCCTGCGCTCTTTATACAAAGGATACATATGCTTGGTACAACTAATCAGGAGTCTCAAAGGGGTTTTATAACGTATCCATTTTACCAGGGTAGATAAATACATTAGTATTAAAAAATAAAACTATTTGGAAACACAATAATCCCATCATTAAAAAAAAAATACATATATAAGCAGGTCTGTGGTGCTAAATGCAAGTTTGATCTGTGAAATTCATTCTACATGAATTTTAAAGAGCTATACAGCAATATACAACTCTTTCTCCTTGCCTCCCCTATCACTGCTCTAGAGCACAATAGCTTATACAATAATTGGGTGTGAAGATTTTGCAGACAGGTCTCATACAGGTTAGGGAGCATACAGCATAAAGTACAGTCCTAGTGAAAAATTAGATTACATTAGGTCAGTATTTCAACCTTTTGCAATGGTCATAAAACAAAGCAGTCACCCCCACCGAAAGGGGTACAGAGGACCCAAATTAAACAGTGGGGTTTTTTTGTTACTAACTTGAATAGCCTTTTAGAAGCCAAATCACAGAAAACCACGGAATGAATTTAAGTAAGAATAAGCATCTTCTTGTGACTATATTATATTTACACAAATAAAGAGGATCTTTGTAGTGAGCTGCATTTTCTGATTGAGTCAAAGCTCACTATTGAGAAATTGTAACTGTATCTCTTTAGCAGGCATGATGTTTCAGTGACAACAGCCTTGGTAAGTGAGTAAGAGCTGGACAGTGAGCCATGTGCAAGTACCCGAGAGGATTTACTGAACATAGAAAATCTTATTTAAGGAATATCACTTAATTGTTTAGTGACCGGGGGGAGTTAGTCACATAAGGGGAACAGCGTTTGGCTGCTCGTTTTCAGTGTTAGAAAAAAACGCTTCATAGTGATTTTTAGCTCATAAATTAGGCAGAAAAATGCTTCAATTGTCAAACAGCATACTACGCTCAATAATAATAATAAATTATAGTAACAAACATAAAAAAGAAACAACAAATAGACTGATAGGTGGGCTGCAGCGTGAAATATTTGGCTGTAACTATCCAAGCATGCCATTCCAGGGAGTCTCAGAGTGATTTTTTGAGCCTCTGCCCACCCTAGCAAAGGAAGGCGGGTGGCAGGACTAATCAATATCTCGTAACCCAGCTGTGGCCTGGCAAATAAATCAGGAAAATAAATCCCACTGATGATCTGTGTAATTTAACGTTCGGGGGACAGCAACACCTGGGCTCAACTCCAAATGGGACGGGGCGGCACTGCTCCAGCGCTGACACACGCACACCCCAACACACACACCCAACACAAAGGAGGGCTCCGGCTCCTCCGGCTTTTTCCGCGACAGACACCACGCCGCGTTCAAATGCGACGTCAACGCAGAGAAAGCCGCTTACTACGCTAGCAGGTCTGTGTAACAGTTCAGCTGCGTTTGTGTTAAGAGAGGGCTATTGTCCGGGACGAGCCACCGCCGCTCACCGAGCGCTGACGATTTTCATCGGCGGTGTCAAAACAGTTAATAAATCAAAATCACAGTGACTCTCTCCTACCACTCCGTAAGTCAAAGCTTGGAGCTTCTCAGCTCCGCAGAGTTCAACAAATAGGCAAGGAAGCGCGGCTCCCACAAGCGACACTTTGTCCCGTTTCCACTGAAGCAGCGACAAACCCTCTACACGCGAACAATGCCCGTGGCCCCGCTCCCGCTTCACCCCCGGCTGCCGCTGCCACCGACGGTGACCGGTTCCCCGCCGGCAGCGGTATCTGCCAAGGCTGCTTTGTTCCCCTTGGAACACCAGCCTTTCCACGCAGCGCCCGCCTCAGAGCTGGGGCACTGGGACCAGCCCCATCCGCGGGCAGCGGCCGCTCTTTGTGGCTCTGCTGTGCAAAGGGCCGCTCCCCTGCCGTCCCGCCGGGACTTCCGACACCGCTGGCACGGGCGGGACGCTGCCTCCGCTCGGGCGGGAGGTGCGGGAGCCCGCTCCTCCACGGGATGCGCTCCCTGCCGGCACCGCCGTCCCCCGCGCTGCCCCGCTCGCTGCCCGCACTCACCCACGCCGTACTTCTCGTGCTCCGTGGGTATCCACATGCTTGCGGCAGCCTCCCGCCCGCCCGGCGGCGGCGGCGGCGGCAGAAGCCCCTACGCTGGGAGCGGCGGTGCCGGGAGCGCGCCCGCTGCCTCCGCTGCCGCTTTAGCCGCAGCTGCCCGGCCCCGGCGGCGAAAGCATTGCTCGCCCCGGCTGGCTGGCGGACTAACTAGCTGAGGCACGCTCGCCGCCAGCCACTTATAAGCCCGGTCCCGCTGCACGCCGGAGAACGTAGCGCCTCGGCGCGGCCGCGCCCCTCGTCCCCCGCGGCCGGGGAGAGACTACGAGCCCCGGCTGGCCCCGCGCTTTCTGCCGGGCGGGGCAGGGCGGAGCTCTGCTCCCGGAGGCCGTCCCACGCCGGGGCGGGGGGAGCGGCAGCAGCATGGCTGCGTCCTGCGGGGCCGGACGGACCCTGGGGCGGGGAGGTGAGTGCGCGGCCGGGACTCCCCGCTCCCCTCCTCCCGGTGGCTCTGCGGCCCCGGCTCGGGCGGTGGGACGGGGTCGACGCGGCGGGGAACCGGGAGTGGGGTGCGGCGGACACTTGTGATACAGCCGGGAGCCGTCCAGGCCCCGCGTGATGAGGTGCGGGCCCCGCCGATGACCCGTCGGAGTGGGGGGAGCCAGGGACATCCCCGTCCCCACCTACGTGGCCGTTACAAGTTGTTCTCATGGTCCTGCGGGAGCTATTCCTTCTCTTAGCAAAGCCTGGGCGCATGAAGCTGTGGGGACAGGTTTCAACGGCAAGTCGTGCTGAAGAGGGAGCAGGTGTCGGCAGTGCGGCAGTGTGCGAGGGAAGTGGGACACTGGATGGTAGTTTGGGTGACTTTTTGACTTGTACAGAAATCCATGCCTCGGCACACACATGCACAAAGATGGAGAAAAGCAAGTGGTGTACAGTGAGGAGCACAAATGGACTATGGGGGTGACAGCCGGGAGTAAGTCAGGCATCGTAAGCAGCAAGCGCAGCAAGGTTTCCATCCTCGTTGAGAGGTCTGTGTGTCTGTGCCCTTCTAGAAGCAGCTTAGGGCGAGCTCACCATAGGTGGACTGCAAGAAATCCTCAGGCTGAACTGATCCTCATGAGAGAAACACGGGCACATGAGAGAAACAAGAGGCAAGAGCAAGAGCTCTGGTTACAACTGTGGGAAGACAGAGATGGAAAGAAGTGGGAAAACACAGTGATAGGATGATGCTATGCAGGCCTCACCAGGCATAGGTTGTCTCTAAGATGAGCAAGTCTGGTTTTAAGAAAGTGTTCTACAATCAAGTCATTACTCTGAACTGGTAACCAGAAATTTTGTGGGATGACTCAGTTTCAGCTGAACATAAAAATACTTTAATGTTTTTACATTTAAGAAAGGAGGGTTTGGGTTTTTTCAGTTCAGTTGGCTTTTAGCCTCTACTGTCAAAGTATGTTGACTTTTTAAGTCACTGATAGTGCGAAGGGCACAATGGAAAGAAGTCATATGCAAAGAAGCAGTTTCAAACCTAGAGTTAGAGTGCACTTACTCTGTGTTTATCCTTCTAGCTGTCAAACTTTGGTAGTAAGTGATCCTTTAAGTGACCTTTTTGTTGTTTCTATAGTACTACCTTGCTTCTGTTCATAAAAATAATATCACTTTATTCTAGTAGTTAAAGCAATACATTTACTTTAGTTATGTGTTGCAGTGTTTTGACATGAGCATCTCCTACCTGAAAAAGGCAGACCTGTCTAGAGTGCTTCCACACTGGTGTAACTACACCCAGCAGCAAAGCTGTGCCGCTCAGCTGTTGTAAAGGACGTGCACTTCAGTCTGTGCAAGTCTGTGTGAAACAGTATATAGGTCTGTGGAGTATGAGAGATGCTGAGGTTACCCTGAGGGTTTTCCAGGTCACTCTATTACAGACACTAGCACAAGTACTAAAAAAAGTTTTTTTCATTGGAATTCAGAGGCTTGGGCAGTTTTCCTATCAATGAGCTCAAGCACTCATTGAAAGGACTGGTGAACTTTGCTCCCAAACTCACTTTTCATCTGTTCTGGTTTAAACACGGCCATAAATCAGAACCATGCAGTCTCTCTTTCACTCCCCCCCTTCCCTCACCCCGCTCCAGAGGGATGGGGAGGAGAATAGAAAGAATATAACTCCCAGCCATTGAGATAAGAACAGTCCAGTAACTAAGGTATAACACAAATCACTGCTGCTGCCACCAATAATAATAATGGTAAGGGAAGTGACAAGGGAAGAGAATACAACCGCTCACCACCCAGCCCGACCCAAGCAATGATCTAGCCCTTCTGGGTTACTGCCCCAGTTTATATACTGGGTATGACGTGCTGTGGTATGGAATACCTCTTTGGCTAGTTCGGGTCAGGTGTTCTGTCTCTGCTTCCTCCAGGCTTCCCCTCCTCCCTGGCAGAGCATGAGACTCACAAAGTCCTTGGTCAGAGTAAACACTACTGAGCAGCAACTAAAAACATCAGTGTCATCAGCGCTGTTCCCAGGCTGAAAGTCAAAAACACAGCACTGCACCAGCTACTAAGAAGGCGAAAAATGACTACTACTGCTGAACCCAGGACAGCATCCTCTGACAGATCCTTTAGAGTCTCTAGGGTGACAAAATGTGTAAAAGTCACTACTGAAAATCAAAATAATAGGTGCCAGGCTAAACTCACTTCCACCTCAGCCTGTAGACATCCATGTACCAGGCTATCCCTGTCTCCATAAGACAAGACTGCCAACGCGCTGGCTGGGAGTCTTGAAACTGTGCCACCACCTTTTAGCTGCTGTCTGTCATGTTAACGGTGACTGACTTCAGCATGTTTGTATTAGGCACGGAGCCTGTCCTTCTTCTTCCCTTGAACAAAGAATACCCAATCTCTGAAATAGCCTTTTCAAAATTATTAATTTAGCACCCAGTTGCTTAGAGTACACAGATCTTATACCATAAATCGCATTGTCTGTGGGCAAAGAAATACCTCACCCTGATATTTACCATTTCCCTGTCTCTGAGCAAAATCTTTACTCTTTCAGAGGTTTCAATTCTACAAAAGTAGTCACTCTGGCAGCATCTTGTACTTGCATGTGCCGCTGAGAAGGTATGTCACTTCTTTGGAGACTGGATATCAGAAAATAGCATAGCGTTTTTTCCTGTCTTGCTGTTTTCTATTTATTAGAAAGGAAAAAGCAGGAAAGCCTGTGCTTTTGTATTCTAGTCCAGGACTGTGTTACTTTCTAGTTAGTTCCCTCCAGCACCCTTCACCAAGTGGCTTTTAATAAACATATCACTGCCCACAGTACAATTTGTTCAGTTTAATTATGCTACTTATCAACATTTCTTACAGCATCTGCCAGTGTGTTTTAAAATGAGGTTTCTTCTGGAAGTGTGTCTTTCATAGTTTCATCTGCAGTCTGGCAGTTACGATTTCCTACTCCGGGTCTTTATGTGCTCAAATGCTTTTTAATACCATGCTGCTGGAGTGTACCATGCCAGAGCACAGCATGTTGTTCTTATTCCTTCCACATCTCCCTCGTGTCCCATTTTTAAGGGAATTCAGTTTACTGTGGAAAACTAAAGTTTGACTGGTCTTGCATAAGTCTACCTTTTTTCATTGCTACCTAGAAGACATTTTAGTGAAAGTTGTTTTGTTCCTGATACTATAAGCATTGCATCTTTAGCCCAGCTCTTAAGTTCTCTCTGCTGAGGGTGTTGTGAGAGCCACTCAACTCAGTGGACTCTGGGATCCAGGGGTTCCTCTTTCCTTGTTGTTGAAAGTCATTCCCATGTCCTCTCAGACCTGAGAGGTTTCTCTGTCCAAGTCAAAGGATGTAATCCTCTTCAGATTCACAAGCATGTTCTCAGGCCGCTTGAATACCAGCATGGGTTCCAAGTCTGTTTAACATCCATGCCTGAACCTTGGGCCCCCTGTCCAGCCACTGGGTCAGATACTGAGTCTTTCCAGGTGAGGATCTCCTACTCACTGACTGTTCCAGCTTGATGTTTGCTACCTGATGCATAACCAAACCTGGTATTTCCAGTGCTCTCACCTGAGCCATCTCAGCCTCACACAGTATCAGTGATACCTCAGTCCTGTGTGTCTTGCAAGATTTCACTCCCCCAGAGGACCCAACACCATACCACCACCCCCCCCCCCGGCCTTTTTGAAGCCCAGCTGCCTCTTACATACTGCCCCTCCCAAATACCTGAAACCCAGCCCTTCCTCATTGTGCCCTTGGCAAGGTTTTTATGCTTCTCACTCTGTTAAGTTCAGCTGTTTCTCATGTCATGCCCAGTAGTTCCTCATTTTAGCTAAACCTGAGACTGGGGCCCAGTCATTTTCCTGTGTATCTTAGCACCCTTTCTGCCCTGTTTGGTTTTGGCTGCCAGAAGGTGGGCTTGCTGTCTCATCACTGTGCCCTCAGGGTATCCCCTCTGCAGCTCCAGCCTCTGCCAGCCTGAGGATTTGGTGGGCATTTTAGCTTCCAGTTAACTGTCTTCATAGACTTCTTTGTGATTTGCCCCATTTGCTTGTGAATCAGCAAAAAAAAGGGCTTGATCTGGCTTTTCTCTTCTGTTCTTCATGGCTCTTCCAGCTTTTCACACTGTCCTCTCATGTGCTTGGAGCCTGCTTTTCATTTCTTGTCTCTGTTCCTTACCTGTCATCTGCCTCTTAGAAGTTCCCTCTGATGCTCTGATAATTCCTCAGCTAGTTACTCCCAACATTACTTCAGCCCCTCCTGCTCCTGCTCTCCCTCTCACCCAGCTCAGGTATTCCCTTTGTCCTGTCCCTTTCCCTCAAGAACCACCAGCCTCTGCTCTCTACAGCTCTTCCTTTGGTCCCACCTCTCCTGTTCTGTTGCCATGTTTCTCAAGAGCTGCTATCCACAGGCTGCTTCTGGATCCTGTTTTCGCCTCTTCTCCATACTTATTCTGTTGGAGGTGGTTTGTGGTTTTTTTTTATTATTTTCTTTCTTTAATGCTTTTCCACCTCTTAATACCTGTGTATCATTCCCTTTCACCATATCACTGACAGGACAACCCTTGAACTGCTTCTTCAGCAGGGCTACAATGGTGCAGCATGAGCTTTATCTCAGGTGTTCTGTACCACCACACC